CTGCAGTTTGGAGGTTTATAAACACAAGCTTTACATACTAGAAGTTTCGATTGAACAGTTATGGCAATTGTATTGGGTTGTTTACAAATTCGATAATTTTTTCAAGCCCAAAGTACTCCTAGAAAATGAGTTTTGCATTGTTTCTCTACCAACAAGCAAAGTTCTCGCTTTCTGGACTGTTTTTTTTTTGTTAACCGAAGCCGATTGATCCAGAAGTTGAATTAAACTTCAGAGAACATAAAAATCTACTCCGAAAATTACCTTTAACCTCAGGATCCTGGAATTCGTTGACTAATTGCGAATATCATATGTCCCGCATGAGAGGTTACTGTAGGGTTACATAGGTACAGGTGGTTCGAAATCATAGGTATGAAAAGGGGTTCTGGAGTTATTTAATACCCTAACTATAATAATCAAACCCGTTCCGCATGATCTTACCAGACGAATTTTTAAAGTCGAAATTAATCCCAAACTGGCAACTGTTGGAGCTATTTGTTGTTCTTCGCAATTTTTAAAACATGAATTAGACTAACTGAAGCTATGCTACTTTTACGCAGCAGAGCTTCTGAGGAGTAACATCTAACCATTCTAGGGTACGTGAAATCAAGCCAAGACTTCTAATTTTCCAAGATTTTTGCAAGCATGAAAAAAACGCATAATTTTATCGGACAGCACAATAATTTGCAAATCCTAACTCGAAAGTCATTTTTATAGAAAAATTGTGATCTAAATCAAGTGATAAAGGCGTACTACTTGATTTTAGAGATTGGAGAGGCAGAAGAGATGAGGAATTTCCAAAATATTAAGATATAGAGTTTCTTCTCGCGTCTTCCTATTTCTTTTCGTATTTCCGCCAAGTGCTTTTTTAAAGAAAGATTTTCTATATCCGCTAGTGCGATTGAGATGAATGGGTACGTTTTTGTGACAGTTGCCGCACATCTCAAGACGGCACGTATTGCGAATCGAAAAGCAACATTTGCCGCAGTCAAAGAGCCACGCGAATTTACGAGCGGCGCTAATGGAAAAAAAAAAGTTCCTACATATTCATTTAAAGCACTATAATGAGATAAGAGACTACGAAGGGTTTGATGGAAGCAATCTCAGGTAAATTGAGAGCAATAGTATTTAATATATGCTACTACCTTTAAACATTTACAAAGAAAAGAACTAAAATTAAAAAGATTGTTGGAAAAAAAACTAGCTTTTCTTAACCAGGGAACTTCTGTCTCTAGCTGACTACGACCACCCGCAACATATCTTTAGCATATAATATAGCGGATATGCTACGGTTCTAAGACAGTGAAGAATTTTTCCAATCTCTAATCTAATTAGCAATGGAGCAATCGATTGGTTGATAGAGCTAACTAGTAAGCGTGCTCCACGCTAACATATGCCCATATAAAATTGTTCAGAGATCGCATAGAAATTCATTTATACTTTGTCGCGAATTCTAGCTTCTGAAAATCAGGCTGCATATAAGGATGTGCTCTGCTATGCAATATTTCCCCTTCAGAGTTTTCTTTTTGGTCAGCGATTTCGATACGGTAAAGGAGCAAATGCGCTGCTAGTCATTTTTTAAGACAAATAGCTTCGAGTGCAAAATCGCCCAGAAATGTCAAATGAATAGTTGGGCAAGTCCTAAAATAAGATTTCACTGCCACAATTATTTAGATGTTTTTAGAAAAGGATTAACTGAGATTGAATTGTATTGAGGGAATATATACTTAACGATATATTAATGCTTAAATTTTAATAAATACGTCAATAATGATCCACCACTCACTGAATCTTAAGACGGTTAGCCAATGAAATTGCACCATCTACCAGTTTTCCAACATTAATTCCAAAAGAACTCAGTATAAAAGTTATACCGCATTATACGCATTAGAGTAGGGACAAATCATTTGGTTTTTCCAAACTACTCGATCATTGAGAAATT